CTATGAAGATACAGGGCTGGCAGTAACTGGTACATTTTTTTCTGTTTTGTGTTTCAGCCAAGTTAAGTCAAGCTTTGCATGTGACATCAAGGCTGTTCCTTCACTCTCCCTCCCTCTATGCCCTACTACTGACTTCTCCCCACCTCTATAAGAGACCACCAAGTATACTCCTTTTGGCCAACCTCCCTGCTGCTATTACTCTTGAACCAGGTACTCATTAAAGAGCTCTACCATACTGAACCACCCAAACTAGTTGAAGACTAAAGCTTAATTCTTGCCATGGAGCTGTAAACCTGCTTGACTTGCTTAAGGCAGGAGGCCATTAAGCTACTTGCGTACCAACTGACATGTAAAAAACAACTGTCAGAACTAGTATGTTCTGACTGACCATACTTACGTATAAGCCTCAAAGTCTCCATTGTTGATGGCTTCTATTAGCTGCTCTGTTATCTTAATGATCTCTTGTTTACGCACTGTGGACAAGAACAGAAAGCAATTTAACTGCATCAACTCTGAATGGCTGGATGTGGCAATCAAGTGCATCCTACTGGACAACCTGCAGGACACCACTAGCCTTGATCCCAGCATTCAAGACATGGGCAGTAAAGACAGCCATCCATATAAAGGTATGGGGTCAATAGTATGAAAGGGAAATGGTGATCCTAGGATGCAGGGAAAAGGGGAATAAAGACTCAAGCATTTTTCTTCTCCAAGAAAGGCCTGTCCTAGGGACCATGGTAGCTTCTTAGAATAGATGACAGCTCTAGCTGTTTCCAGGTACTATAAGAAAGGGACCCTGAGAGAGTGTTCTGTGTATGTGGCAACTCGAAAAAAAATCTTAAAATTTGAACCTGTATCTGCTGTAGAAAGGAAATAACTATATCGCTACTATAAAATCAAACCAACAAAAAATCCCCCAGCCACCTACTTACTACCACCACCAATAATTACCCACCATATTTTGAGAGCACTGCAAACAAAATATTTGGACATACGTAGGGATGGTTTTCACAAGCTAGTGAGACAACCACAGCAAGACAGCTTGCTGCACCAGCAGACCCCACATTCATCTATGTTGTGAGGCTACACACTCGCGCCATGTTAGCTTTCTGCCATGCATACAACCCTGTAACAGGATAAAGAAGCAGTCCATTCTCAGTATGTGATTAGCACTACAATTATCTAACTCCCCTTAATGGACTTAAAGATGGATGAACAACCTTTTGTTGTGGACCCAAATCTCATGCATCAGCACACCTAGTCTTTCCATTACCAGGCTTCCTACTTCCTACACCTTAGCATCTCCCTTCAACTTGTCATCACTACCCACCCATCATGGCAAGGCTTGTGCAATGAATTGGTTTTATTAGAACACCCAGCAGCAGATTAAGTACTTAGTGTAATGAATATTCCTTCTTATTTTTGGCTAGCATACATGAATTCACATGCATCAGCTTCATCTCTGCACCAAATGCACATACATAAACACACAGCTAAGTATACCTGAGCCCATCTATATACCTGTCTCCCCCCTCCCTTCCTCTGCCTCTAAGTGCAGCTATTGGATAAACTACCATCACATACCTAGACTTTATACTGGTGCCATATTTAAACGTACAAATAAGTAGTCTAAATATTGCTGTGCTGTTTGTAGCTGCCTCCCATATTCCATATATTTCATACTACCAGTGCCTGCCAAAGATAAGGCACAAGACAGTCATATCTCACCTACTGTAGGAGACTACCACCCCTACATGCCTGAAATCCACCAAGGAAGTTAAGTCAGGCAGCAAACCACAGAAATGTTTTAGTTAGTAGCATAAGCTAATCTCACTGTGCGTGCTCTGGCAGCAGAAGCACTGTATAGCATAATCTATATGTAACCATGTGCTGCATGGGTAATCAACAGTGGATCTGGGAATGGGGCAAAGGAAGTACACCCTCTCCTTTGGCTGTGCCAAACATGCCTAGTGACCTCCAGGGCTTGCTGCCTGATCAGCGCAGGCTCCTGCCAGAGCTCTATGTAAGCAACAAATTTTGAGTTCACCAGCTGATCAGGGCAGTCAGAGCCCCTGCTTTTGTGTAGCTGCAGAGTTAAGGACAGCTGCTGCCATCTGCACTTCTTACTTCCCCTCCCTGCTGCATTCAGCAGCAAGGGAAAGGAGGTGATGAAGTGGTGGCAATACTCATCCCTGGCTCCAGAGCTGCAAGAAAGCAGAGACTCTGGCCAGACCCTGTGCTGAGAGCTAACATGTGGAACAGCCAAAAAGTGGGAAGGGGTGTACAACCATGCTGCCACACCTGCTCTGGATCCACACACGGGTAATGGACCAGGTCTCCAACTCTGTGAAAAGTATAACTGTAACATATTGAGAGAATCCTGAGCCAAAGGAGGAGAATGGAGCAAGATTTAATTTGGCACAAGTAAAGGAGCCTAAAACCATAAAAGTCTTGTGCTAGCTCATCTTAAAGTGTGTCTTATGCTCCCTGCCCCCAAGCCCAATATACACAGCAGGACTGACTGCATTTCAGGCATAAAACTATGCTTTCCTCCCTGCATTTACTGTACAGGCAAAGCTATCAGAATAACACAGATCCATTCCCTTTTCTCCTACAATGGAGAGTCCCTGGATTTCATGCAGCGAGGCACTACTGCCTATCAATCAAGATGAAAATAAGCAGGACCTCACCAACTTACCCTTCCAGAAGAAAGCAATAGGAAGAATAAGCCAAGGAACAAACACAAAGCCCTTGGGAAGTCCAACTGTTGATCTCTTGAAATCCTTACTATCATACCACTGTCCCTTAGACACATCCTGCATGACACTGTCAGAGCACTGCTGAAAGAAAGACTCAGGAGTGTGAGCTTCCAGCACTGGCGAGGCAAGGATCTCCACCAATAGGCGACAATTAATTCTAAAGTCCTGCCCACACTACAACTTTTAACCAAATCTGTAGCCACTTAAGAGGCACGGATGGTTTCAGACATGACTTGTGGCTATCTATATGTATTACAATTCAAACACTTAGCAACAATGACAGCTTGAAAGCACATCATCCCTGCCAAAGATGCAGGCTGGCACTTGGCTGCTCTTATAATTGGTTCACCACATTCATCCAGTAATTGTTTGCTTACATGATTTGGGGAGGGGAAGGGGATTCTTATTCTAGAGCACATTACCCCACCTTTTGCTGGTGCAACCCCGTGGACAGATGTAATTCAGAAGAGGAGACCAGATTCTCCCATAATGTACTTCCACACAGAGGAAGACAGTAGTTTGCATGTGCACACACAAAAACAGCTTCAACAGCGCAAATGCTTTGGTGACTGTGTATTAAACCATGGTACTTGTCATCAGTTACAGTGACTTTGTTTCTAGCCATTCACAAAGTCCTGGCATCAGCCGTAGCATGGAAAGTCATTCCATCTTCCTGAATTGGGAATAGGAGGATGAGGAACATAAGGATGAAGAAAAGGAGGGTAACTAAATATCTAAGGTAACTAATATAAGTTGTACTACTCCACTACTACTAGCCAACTGCTAACTTACACGGTGGACTGTTAAGTACAAATGGAACTACTGGAGTTAGCAAGGGCTCCGACTGAGCACGCTCTAACTCCAATGTCTGCCCTGGGCTGTCCCAGGCAAGAAGCTTCTCTTCACAAGACTGTGTGGCTGCAAAACAAACGTAAGCATTAAAACAAAATTAAAAAAGAACGAAACAAAAAACAAACACAAAAACAAAACAAAAAACAAAACCAAAGCAAACTGAAAATATACAACACAACACACAGCCCCAGACCCCATTTTTACAGACACATACCCCATTAACCATCAATCTCTGTGCTGAATAGGTTGTGCCATCTCAGTTGGATGACGTTCCAAAGGGCCAAGACGGGCCCTTGGGATGCCCTGCAGAACATGGTGGATCCCTCACTGAGACTGAAGGGTGATATCTGAGTGTGCCCAGAAGCAATCTACCCTCACCAGTCTGTGACTGATGAGTAGAGGAGAGGATGGGGTAAACAAAAGGGGGAAAAAAAGAGGCCAGGGATCCAAATCACTACAAACGTGACACAGAAAAGTAGCAAGGGAAAAAAACATTTCCTCACTGTGGGGAATGAGGTTTCAGCAGTCCAGCGTACTAAACCAGGGGCTTGTTGGTAAGGGAGGGGTATTTGAGAACACAGTGCTGTAGGGGTAACAGCCGTTGGGAGTTAAAAGATCACAGCCCTTGCAGTCTAGCCAGACAGGGCCCTCTCATCCAAATCAGAACATTACCAGAGTTATATGCTTAAGGTTAGTGCCAAAAGGGAGGCTCGCACTGCTTCATCAGAGGAGTTAACAGGAATGTTTGGCAAAGGGACAAAGGAATGAAGACGAGAGAAGGAAGAGGAGAAAGCAAGCCTGTTTCCTCCCACCCACTGAAATAGTCTGACTGGATGATTCAAAATATCCTGAGTGTCACTATGTTTGTTCCCCATTCTAAAAGGTGCAAATGTGAGGCTAGTAAGAGACTCAACTCAGGAAAACCATCCTGATGGGAGGAAAGGTCTGGGGAGCCCAAACGTGTCTTCTCTTGGCCACCTATTCTTACTATTTTTCTGCTGCCAGGTTACTAAAAGCTCCTCGGCCAAGCCACAGAATTTGGGAGAAAACTGGGGAGACTACTGCATAGAATACTAACAGGATATTCAATTTTCAAACCCACTGAGATAAAGCGAGACATGCAAGGCAGAAATACAAACAGAGGAGATGCCCCTCCATAGTTTACAGCACAGAGTGGTGGAGGGTAGGTTCTTCTAGCAGCCAAAGCCTTGCTTTCATAGCACCTTTTGAAGTGGCCCTTACTACTAGTCCTCAGTACTTTTTTAGCATTTTCCATCCAAAGAGCAAAAAGCTCTTAAACCAGAAGGAAGTCCACCTTACAACACCCCTCCCCCAAAAGTCAGTCAGTACCACTGTTCCCCTTTTTCAGACAGGAAAATTACACTGTGGAGAGGTTAAGTGACTTGGACCAAGGGACCCAACAAGTCAGTGTCACTGCAACAAATTCCATGCCTTACACAAATGGAAGTAAAGGATTGGAATTAGCCAGGATGAGGTTCCAATTTACAGTGGGAGACGGTCTAGAGAATTTCAGTGCGAGGAAGAGGTTTTCCAGGAGGGGAGAGAATCTTTTTTATTCTGAAGTACTAGAAATGAAAGTCAACATTCTGGATGGAAACTGGGGAAAGGAAGGTCTTGGGGTGGGAAAAATGGGGGATGGTGGAGGAAGGGGAAGGGGAAGGGGAAAGATGCTGTGGAGCGCTGCACCCCTGGACTTACTGGCTGAGAAACAGAGAGAAAGCTGGGACTGCATGGTCTCAGTCTGTGTTTTGCTCTCACTGTGCCTCCGTCCTTCAAGCACTGAGCTGCCGTCCCCGGTGGAGAGAGGGGGAGCTAGCATGGCAGGGAATTAAAACACAAAAAAC